TTTTCTCGACTTTCCCTTCTGATTTTCTCTATATTGGCCCAGCCGTCGCGGCCTTTGCTGTCCCCCAAACACCAAAAATTTATCGAATTGTGTGGGAAGCTGTGAGGAAAAAAGAAAAAAAAGACAGAGAGAAAAGGAAGGATTATCCGGATGTCCTTAGCTTTTACAAACACAAAACAACAATACTTTCTCTCTTTTTTTTGGATAATAATAATAATAATTTCTAAAAGCGTGTCATTCATAATAATAACACTTTTTTTGTTTTATATTTTTCTGTTTAAATATTTTTTGTAAATTTTTTTAGTTTATTTTACCTTTTTAGTTAAAATTTACTGACTGGAGAAGGCATTTTCGGCGCAAGAACATATACGGCGCGGGGTTATATAAAACGGCCTAAAAATAACTTAAAATTGCCTAATTTTGTGTGGAGATGCTAAATAGTGTTGGCTACATTCTCTAAAAATTTCAGAATTTTTGGTCAAATATTTCCGAAATTATTGTCAGAAAAATGCTAGGCCTAGAAAAATGCTTACTTCTCTTAATTTTTTTCTTATATTTCCAGAAATTCTGAACCAAAAATTCTGAAATTTTCAGAAGAGTTATTTAATAGTGTCGAGAATATCTGTGCAAAATTTTATGGTTCTAAGTTCATTTTTGATAATTTTTTAAAATTTTTATTGCCAGTTTAACGTCATTTATTCCTCTGTTATTTGTCTTTCTAAAAATGAAAAAAACTTTATTTTCCAACTTTATTTTTTCCCCAATTTTAACTTTAAAAATCTCTTAAAAGTTTAATTTGTTAATTTATTATTCCATATTTTTTTAAAGTTTTTTTTCCTTTCATTTTTCCCCCAATTTTCCCTTTAAATTTATTATTTCCCATTAAAATCACAGATCGCTTAAAAAAATAAAATAAAAATTTTTTGGCGTGTGAATGAAAAAAAATCATTTAAAGAAGTGAAAATCATTTTCCCTCAATTTCCCATCTTCCTTCCACAAAAAATGAACAACTGACTTTAAAAGAAAATATTGGATGAAATTATTAGGTAGAAAAAAAAACGTTTGGTCGTTAACAGAAAAAATATTGATGAGGAAAAAAATGTGTTTACATAATATTTTTTGGACCCAAAAAAAATCTCTTTTTCTTTCATCCACCTCTATTTTAAAATTTAATTTTTCTTTTACAAATTTTAAAACGTAAAAATTTTAAGGATACCTCTCCGTTATAATTTCTTTACCAACCCAAGAAAGCATATAAACCATGGCTGTCTGCAATTGAAAAAAATTCGGGAGCAGGCCACTTTGACGCAGCCCACTTTGCCGCGCCCACTTTGACGCAGCCCACTTTGACGCACGCCCACTTTGACGCGCTCCCACTTTGACGCAGCCCACTTTGACGCACGCCCACTTTGACGCAGCTTATTAAGTTCAGCCGCCGGACAGGTTCGAACGGGAGCAGGTAGTATACCTACGCAAATAACTTAATAATGTTAGCGGGTATTCTTTCAAACAGAGGTGGGTCGTAACAGTCAGAGGTGTCGGAAATCGGAACTGCCGGAAATCGGAAATGGCTCAAAAGTCGGAACTCAGAAATCGGAAATAAAATTTTTATTTTCATAACTGAAATAATATTTAAAATTGTAAGGTGGCAAATTTTGGCCTTCTTGAGTGTATGTAGTTTGAGTGAGTAAATGTTCTTTTTGCAACTCAAGAGTCAAATTCGAAGGGATTAAAAGAGATATTGTGAGCAGGGTGGTCCTTTACAAATCACCAAAAAGGGGCATGGCTCCTCAGAAAAGGAGCGAAATCGGTCAAAAATGTGGCAAAAAAAGGTGCGTTATGATTAAGAGTTTGTGCCTTACTTCTTTTTTTCAGTTGTCCTTTTTTATTTTTTTACCTGCCCCTGTATTTTTATTGTATTCAATCAATGGGAGCGCGTCAAAGTGGGCTGCGTCAAAGTGGGCGTGCGTCAAAGTGGGCTGCGTCAAAGTGGGCGTGCGTCAAAGTGGGCTGCGGCAAAGTGGGCGCGGCAAAGTGGGCTGCGTCAAAGTGGGGTGTACCCAAATCTTACCTAGTAGCCGCAATCAGCAACCCGCAATTTTAATTTTAAAATCCGCAAACGCAATCCGCAACTCAAAAAAACACGTAATTTTACGCAATCCGCGGACAGCCCTGATAGACATACAAGTCTCGAATTCAATTAAGTTTTGGGGGCTATTAATCAGTCTAGTCATTTGGATGGAGGGTTATAAAAGAGGTTTCACAGTTTAGACCCTCCAAATAATCAAGACCTCCAAATAATCACCCTCCAAATAATCAACTTTCTCTATAAGAGACTTTTTTTTTGATTTTCTCGAGCTGGCCACCCAGCTTTTTAAACTATTTCTCGGACCAGTAAAAATTTTCAAGGCCAAAATTCCTACTATTTAATTTACATCTTCATTGGTATTTTGATATTGTCTCGCAACACTTTCCGTATCCATTTATAGTACATTATAAAAATTTATTTTTGTTTTTTAAAAACAAAAATCGAGCCAATTTTTTCCCCTTTTTTAACGCCCTTTTGTCTGGTATTTTTTAAAGAAAAAAAATAAAAGAAAAGGAAAATAAAGAGTTTTGTCATTTTTCCGATTTTATCCATTTTAATGCCTTTCTCTGTTGGAGGGATTTTTCTTGTTAGCATGGTTACTTGGCAAAATAAAAAAAATTTTTTCAAAGATTTTTTTCTTTTTCTTTTACTTTTCTTCTAGTAGTTTTACCCTTCATTTTTACTTGACCTTTTTTGTGGAAAAAAATTTTTTTGACAAATTTTTTGGTATTTTTTTCGTATTTTTAAAAGCTTTTTTGGAGCCCAATACGGCGCGCGGCCATAACGGCGTAAAGCCATAACTTGCTGGAATTCGTCTGGCCCTTAACAATTTTGGTACCAATCTCTTTAGCTCGATGAGAGGAATCGTTTAATACTAAATTTGTTATGATTAGAAAATCTTGAAGTAAGTTATAGCTTTGCGCCATTATTGCCGCGCGCCGGTTTGGCCGTGTCCCTTTTTTGGACATTTTGAAAATTTGGTGTTTTGAAAATAATCAAATAAAAAATAAATGACGTTTTGCCAAAAAAGGAAAAATTATTTTTCTTTTTTGAATTTTTAAAAGCTAAACAAGAAATGAAAATTTAATTTTTAAAAATTCTTTTTAGTGACGTTTACATTTGTTTAAACAAGTAAAAAATAAAATTTAATCAAAATTTTGCTAAAAATAATAATAATATTGAATGGGGTTCCAGTTAAACAACTAAAATATTCGATTTTCTAATTTTTGTTTGGCTGGTAATAATTCTTTTCTTTTTTTTGGAATACAACCGAACACATCTCTATAATCTTCACCAAATACCTTAATTTAAGAAACGTTTTTCAAAGGTTGGCTGGACTCCTGAGTGATGGGGAGCCGTCTAAAAGTTACCCTCCTTCCTCGCTTTAAAATATTCTCCGTTATATTCTCCGAGGTCTGTCAGTATTTTATTTTTAAATCAAAAAATATAGGCCAGACAATTTTTTTCAAAAAAAAATTTTTTTCAAATTTGTCTTTCTATTTTTCACTTAAAATTTTTATTCTGCCAAAAAATCCCCTAGAGTACCATTACAAAAACACAAATCTTTATTTTCTTTTAATTTTTTTCTTTTTCAGATTTATATGTAAAACTCAAAAAAATTATGAAAAATTATTTCTTCTTTTCTTCTTTATTTAATTTTGAATATTTTATTTAAATAAATTAATTATTTAAAAAACAACAATTTTTTGGGGGGGATGTTGTCATGGATTTTATTTCTATTTATTTTTCTTTTATTGATGCCAATTGTTGAAAATAATATTATAGCTTTTGAAAGTGCTGTGGATTTTATATCTGAGGTTTTTTTTAATTTTTTTTTGTCCGCAAAAAATTTTTGCGGATTTTTTTAATTTGCGGACCAAACTTTGCGGACTTTATTGGAATTGCGGACAAAATTTACGGACTTTCCTATTTTTTATCCGCAAAAATTTTGCGGACTTTAGATTTGCGGACTTCTTTTTTTGTCCGCAAAAATTTTCGCGGTTTTTTTTAAATTTGCGGACAAAACTTGCGGACTTTCTTGGAATTTGCGGACAAGACTTGCGGACTTTTTTAAATTTGCGGACGAAACTTGCGGATCTTTCTGTAATTTGAGGATAAAATTTGCGGACTTTTTTGGGATTGCGGACAGAATTTGCGGCCTTTCTTATTTTTTAAAAATTTTAATTTTTAGGCTTCACTCCCAACAACTTTCCACTCAATAGAAAGGCGTAGAGCTCCAATTTCCCGTTCCTCAACTTCATTAAAAGACCTTTTAGCACAATTAGACAGCCTTTTATTATCCTGCAATAACGAAAATAATCAAATAAAAATAATAAATGGCCAATTAATCCAAAAATTAATAAACGGGTCAATTCAGAGAATTTTAAAAATAAACACAACAAATGAGGATTTAAAAAAATCGTCTACACAATTAAATTTGTTATTATCTCTTGCTCAAATTTATTCAAAACATCCATATATTGTTAATTCTGATTATTGTAAGTCTATTTTAAATTGTTCTATTTAAAATTTATTTTGGGGTGGCATTCCACAATAACGAAAAATTGTTCAAATTTTATGTCCGCAAAAATTTTGCGGACATTTTTTAATTTGCGGATTTTTTTTGCGGACAAAGATTCCGGATTTTTCCTGGACCGCTACATTTTTTAGAATCTCCCCTCTTTATTTTTCCATCAACTAGACATCCAGCCACCATAAAATTTAAAATCTATATTTACCTATTTAAGCGCTTCCCCCAAATTCAACAATAACTTCAACACCCGTAACACAGCCAGATTCGATTAATTCACCTGCCTTTGCATTCCAATTAATATGTAATGACCATTCCAGTAATCCTTATTGGGTGCCTTTGGCAATTTACAAAACTGTTGATCCCCACAAATATCTGCAGATGAGGTTGCCTAAACTTTCTTTGGATGTTTGTGAAAATGCTGATTGCCAAACACATGTAAGTGGTTTTCTTGTTTCTGACTATTTTTTGGTTAAAAAAATTTTTTTGGCTGACCATTTCTCTAAAAGTGTCCCTTTTAGAAAAATATGTCCTCTGACCATTTTGTACCCTTTCCATTTTTGACCCTTTCGAGACTTTGGCATTTTGACCCTTTTAAGCGTTGGCGTTTTGTCGCTTATAAAATTGTTCATTTTGATTCTTTTTTAGTGCTCTTATTCTGTCCACGGGGGAGTAAAAGTTTTCGCGCGTTCTTGCTGCCATGAAGAATATGGTGAGCAACTATGCAGAGTTGATTGGCTACTCCTTCAAAAAATATTTTTTCTTCTCTCAATTGTTTGCATTCTTTTTTGTTTTTTTATGATTATTGTAAGAGTCTTTGTTATTTTTTTATAAAATTTATTTTAAGTTTATTGTCCGAGAAAAAAGACACGAACAAAATGATAGAGGCTGGGCTCTAATGGAAGCATTTTTTATGGGTGCTATTATACTTTATGCTATTGTATGTGTATATTTTTTCTATTTAAATGTTTTTTAAAGCCTCTACTTGGCTGGCCAGAACATATTCCTTGGAGTTGTTGGATTGCTGATTTTGGCAGGCAACTTGGTTTTACTTTATTTTATGGCTCTGTGATTCTTAAAATTTATAGGTTTCTTTTTTGGGTATTAATTAGGGTTATTGGCGTCAGTTGATCTAGTCAATAACCTTCCATATCTTATAAGGGTGACCGATTAATGACCAATCACTCAAGTTATATTTCCTTTTCAATATTTAAAACGCGCCGTTCTCACTCCGTGATATATTTGGAATATTATGCTTTCTCGAGATCGATCTGTGTCTGGACCAAGGCCTGGGTTTTTCCTGTACCCAGAGTCCATGCCCATGCATTTTTTGACTTCCTGTGTTCTTTTTGGGCATGGGTTTTTTCTAAACTACAGGCCCAGATCAATAAATCAAACCCAGAACGCAGGAACAGGCATATGCTTTTCAATAACATTATCGGAAATCTCGTAAAAAATTTTTTCAACTCTGGTCTACCTTGACACTCTTCCTTATCTTATTTTTTAATTAAATCTTTATTTTAATAATAATTATTTTTTAAGAAATTTACAAGAATATCGAGTACGTAAAGCTCAACACGTTATTGTTAGAGAACTTGATTTAATTTTATATTTACTTTTTGCTATTTTAATTGTGCTTTATGGTTATTTTTTAATTAAATTTTATTAAAAAAAATTTCTTTTTAAAGGAATTCTTGCTTGGTCTTCAGGTTCTTGGACCCGCTCAGATTTATGGTCGTCCCAATGGCCCCAATGCCCTGTGGAAGAATTTAGAATGTTTTTTTCTCTTTGTGAACAATTGGTTTTGTTTTATGGAATTAGATTATGTTAGTTTTTTACTTCTTTGAAATTTTTTCTAATTTTTTAAAAATTATTTTTTGGAGGGTGGGAAGATTTTTTTTAATAATTTTGGGAGATTTTTTGGACTGTAAAATTTTTTTATTTTTTCCAAAAAAATCCGCAACTTTTGTCCGCACATTTTCATCTCTTTTTTCCTAAAAATTGTTTAAGGCTCGGGGCCTGTTTTCTAATATTCTTTAATTTTTTTGAAGGTTATAAAGCAAGAAATAGCAGTTGGGTCGAACGCTATCAATTTACAATGGCTGTTATTTTGGAAGCAATTATTTCACTTGTAGCCTCTTCCATTAGGTTATTTTAATTTTTTAATAATTATTTTCCTGGGAATCCTCAAAAAACTTTTCAAAATTATTTTTAAAAAAAGTTTTTGAACTTTTGGCCTCTATTTTGTATTTTTCATTTTATAAATTTATAATACCTTTGGGATTCAATAACAAAAAAAAGTTCATTTTCTTTAAGATTAAAAAATTTTTTTTTAATTATGAAAAATGTATATTGGACTAATAAAAATAGAATTTGATTAATTTTTGCTGAAAAAAATTTTTTTTTGTAATTTTATTTACGGGCAACCACAAGATATAAAAAAATAAAAAATAGAGGTTTACGTCAAAAATTTGTAAAAAAAATTTTTTTAAAGATATGCCCTAAATGAGGTTGGTTCAAGAGATGCACTCTTTCTTGTTGCTGTACTCCAACTTCATTTAACAATTTCTTTAAATATTGTAGCCATTATTGCTCCGAAATTTTTGGTTTTCCTTTATAATTTTTTAAATTCAAATTTTCTCGTTTTTTAAAGTTTTCAACAGAAAACACGGCTAGAGGGACTCTAAATAGTGGAAATGCTACAGCAATAATTGGAAGTAATAGAGCACATCCTTCCCTAGCCAAAATGCGTGAAAATTTGATTAATGGAACTATTGACTTTCAAGAAGTGCCGATTGTTGATATGAATCCTGAAGATATTCGAGTATTTTTTAAAAATATTTTTTGGGGGGTTTGGGAAGACTTTTTTGGGTTTCTTTTCCTTTAATACTCCAAAAAAAATAAATTCTATAGGTTCACAGATTTTCCCGAAAATATGAACTGCTTGTGAAATTTGAAGAAGTAAAATTTTTTAGGCTCCAGAAAGTCCTCATATTTTTTATGGAAAAAAATACTAATCAACCTTTATGCCTTCCAAAAATCCACGAATGTCCGCAAAATTTTTTTATCTTTTTATTTTTTCCAAAAAGTTTAGAACTTTCTTGAACCTAAAAAATTTTTCTTGTTCAAAATTGCATTGAGTTTTCTGTTTTCAGAAAACATTGAAGACGACTTTAGTTACAAATAAGGAAAAAATTTGGCGACTTTGTTGCGGACATTCTTAAGTACAAAACATCTTTCCCCTTTTAAATTATTTTCTAAAAATTTTCCCAAATTTTTTCAGGCCGAATTAAAACGTGTTTACACCCAATTAAGAATGTACAAATTAAAAAATGCTTATCAAGACAATCCCCATATATCAAAAAGGAAAGGAGGGGCCGGAATAAAAAAAGTAGTTCATCATCAACAATCAACAACAGAATGTAATAATAACAATATTGGGGGAGGAAAAACTTCTAGAGCGGCATCAGCCTCAGCAGCAATTGACAGAAGAATATCTATACCTCCCCAAATAATTAATTCTTCTTCAAATAATTCCCCAAATAAATTTCAACAGCAACAACAAAAATTAATTGAGGAAGAAAAAAATAATGATTTGACAGTAGAATCAGCTCCTCACAATATCCATTTGTTAACAACTTCGAGTAATTCTTCAATTAAATTAAATTCTCCAACAGATATTCCTTTAATTTCTTCTTCTGATCAGTCTATAAGGGTTTAAATTTTGAAGAAAAGATTTTTGGATGAAGAGAATCTCAAAGAAAAGATTAAAAAAAAGAGAGAGGGAAGAAGTAAAGGGGTTGGTGAATATACATAAGAATGGGAAAAAAAAGACGTTAAAGTGAAGAGAAGGAAAGTGGGAATATTTTGATGAAAAAGACAATTCAATTAAAATTTTAATAATTTTTGTAGAAAAGACAATTCATACACACTAGAGGTCGGCGCGGGACGGGATCCCGCGCGGGATACTGCTCCCGCAATCCCGCACTTTTTCGATTTGCGGGAATGTGGGATTTATCCCGCGCGATCCCACAAACGCGATTTTACCGACCTCTATTACACGCACAAAAAAATTTTTTGAAGAAAAATTTGTTGTTTTTCTTATTTTAAAAGAACCTCGAAAAATTTTGGTTTTTGATGATTTGTCTTTTTCTTTAGTTGTTTTTTCAACAATTCTAATTGTGAAATTTTTGATATTTAAAATAATTATAAAAATTGAGACTGGAAAGATTTTTTAGGGAAATTAAATTTTTAGGGAATTAAAGAAAAATTTTTCAACAATTTTTAAAAGGACTATAAAATATATTTTTATTAATTAATTATCTTTCCAGTCACAAAATATAATTTTTTCTTTAAATTAAAATTAGAACAAAAAATTTTTAAATTAAATTAATTATTACATCATTAATTTTACTAAAATTTAAATTTTGATCACTTAAAAAAATGATTTATTAAATATATTTTATTTTTTTTGAATTTTAATAAAATTATAAATTTGTTTCAAAAGAAATTTTTTTTGAATTTAATTTGTCATTTAGACAATATAAAATAATTAATTTTTTGAAGTTTGTATTTTCCAATAGAATAAAGGGAACACGCTCAAGTAGGCGCACGGCCATGTAGGCGCAAAGCCATAACTACCTTGAAAATTTCTGTTCCTTATCAACTTTGGTATCAATCTCTTTAGCTCGTTGAGAGGAATCGTTTAATACTAAATTTGTTAAGATTCGGAAATCTTGAAGCAAGTTATGGCTTTGCGCCTACTTGGCCGCGCGCCTACTTGGGCTGTACCCACAAAAAAAGGAAAGGAAGAGGGGAGACTAGAAAGTATATATTTTTTCTGTTCTTTGTTTTATTGTCTCTTCCTTTTTCTTATCAGAAAGTATCTAGTATAAAATACAAAAAAAAATACTAAAAAAGAGAACATATATAAATAATTAATTTTTAAGGACTTGGTAACCCATTGACCTAATTAATTTACTTGTGCCTTTTTAAAAATTAATTTTAAAAAATGTCAACTAAATTGGCTTATGTTGTTAATTTAATTTTACAATTTATTGCAGTCTATCACCATATGTGAGTTTATTTTTTAAATTTTAAAAACTTTGGGGGGACTAGCGGGATTCTCAACTTTATGTAGACGGTTTAAGGAAGGATTCAAAATAAAAATTCGGTGTCATTTAAAAACGAAAGCAGAGGTGGGTTGGAATTCCGCCTCCGATTCCGGAAAAAAATTTTGATTTCCGAGTTCCGACTTTTGAGCCAGTTCCGATTTCCGACGCCTCTGACTGTTCCGACCCACCTCTGCTTTAAAGGTAAAAGTTTGAAGAATAAAAGATATTCTTTTTTATTTCGAAGATGAAAGGTTTAATTTTGAGGACGAGAAAAATTAAATAAAGATAGTCCGCAAATTTTGTCCGCAGTTTTTTTTGACAAAATTTTTTTTTTCGATTCAAAACTGTGATGACAATGATTATTTAATGGGTTGATATTCAA